TTTACATTTGTCTAAACAAGTAGGTAATTAAATACAAACTCATTTCATTAGAATCATCTTTTTTTTTTTTTTTGGTAATTTTCAGGTTTCATAAATTCCCAGGTTCAGGGAACACTCTAATAGAGAGAAGAGCTGTTGACATTATGTCTGGTTATTCTTCCCCATTTCACTCTGATTTATGAAAAGCTCAGACAATAATAATCATTGTTTTCAAGGATTAGCAAACTCCCTATTATGCCATCATCAGGTAGGTAGTTAATATTCAAACTTTACGTATGGGAAAAGGTAAGCAAAGGTCTGTGCTATCATAATATCTTGTAAGGGCACAGGTGGAGTGTTTGGGACGTGGATGCAGAGTGGCATGGATACTGCCACAGGCCGTGGTGGGAGGAGGGCGATGACCTTATCTAACCAAATACTACCTTTGTAGTCTGGCAGTTGTGCCTCTCCAGGCCCACATCCTTGTTTGGCTCATGCTTTGTGCATGCTAGAAAACTGCGTTGGGCTTAGGTCATGGTCTACATTCCATGGGAGATTTTAATTTTTTTTTCCATATAAGCACTGCCCTACCTAGGTGCATGCGTAGACTTCTAGAGTGTGGATCTGGGACAACATCACGGAACTGGCTTCTGACTGCAGATTTGCATGACTCATTAGTTTCCTTGCACACCACCCACCTGAGAATCCCATATCTAATTGTTCTTTCAAAAGGTTAAATACCCACAGGAGTTTGAGAGAGAGAAAAAATAAGCCTGGTATTTAAATAGAGAAGAAAAAAACCCACAGTTTTTAAGGTGTAAGTTGAGAAGTAGAATATTAGCCTACAAAAGGCAGAATATTATGATGCCAGCTGTGTTCTCTAGCTGTGTGCTTATATACCACAGGTCTGATTTGTATCCCTACAAACTAGACTCTATCCCTTCGTTGCACCTTGTTCCTTCCCTTTCCTACTTCCACTTTTGTCTACCCCGAGATAAATGCCTGCACACCGGTGAGAAGTGCATGCAAGAGCCTGGGGCCTATGCTCAGCCCTTGTCAGGTAGCTACCTCCATCCACGCAGTGTCAAAGCTGTCCTTAACCCACAGTGTGGATGGATATGGTTCATGTGACACATTTCAGGATCCCTAGCTCTACGAGGATGCACTGGAGCCCTGTGTTGGCCCTAATCTGTGTGTTTAATCCCTCTGTGCATCCCTTTGCTGGGATGCTCATTCTCTAGCTAAGGACTTGAGCCTGCATGGCACAGGATGACTGTGCCCCACAGGGGATGTGGGTTCAAATGTTTTTTCTCTGTTGCAAGCTCAGGAACAGAATTTACTGATGTGGAGGACAAAGACAAAGAGCAAGTTTCACAGGGAGAGAAAAGGAGGTGCTGAAGGAAGGGAAGGAGGGACTGCCAGCTGGGCAGTTTGATCAGATCCT